TGACAATGACAACGATAAAATAAGCATTTAATAGAAGAACTCTTACCATGCTCCAAAAACACTGCTAAGTCTTTTGTACATCTAATCCTCTTAGCTAATTCTCACTGCAACCCAAAGAGAAAGATACTATCCCCACTTTTCAGATAAGGAATCTGAAGCACAGAGAGGTTAAGTATTTTGTACTATGACACAGAGGTTAAGTATGTTATACTATGACCAGGGCTGAATGACTCCCCTTTAACATGATAAGTGAAATGAGCCTGTTCAGAACACCAAAGCACAAAACTGCACTAGAGCAGGGGAAAATCAAAAGCAGAAAAGAAAAGCTGTCAAAAATAAAGCATATTTAGCTCTTAAATATAGGAGCTAAAAATATAACACTCTTAGAAGAAAACAGGCATAAATTTTCATGACTTTGATTTGGCAGTGAATTCTTAGATATGACACCAAAAGCATGAACAACCAAACCAAAACAAAACCTAAATTGGACTTCATCAAAATTAGAAACTTCTGTATATCAAAGGACATTATCAAGAAAGTGAAAAGACAACCCAAAGAAAGGGAGAATATATGTGAAAATCATATATCTGATAATACTTTAACATCCAGAATATATAAGGAACTCCTACAACTCAAGAACAAAAAGACAAACAACCCAATTAAAAAAAATATATATCTATATATATACAGGCTAAAGACTTGAATGGACATTTCTCCAAAGAAGACTTACTAATGGACAACAAGCACATAAAAATATGCTCAGCATCATTTAGTTATTAGAAATACAAATCAAAACCATTACGAAATACCACTTCACACTGACTAGGATGGTTATTTAAAAAAATTAAACACAGAAAATAACAAATGTTGACAAGGATGTGGGGAAATTTAAATCCCCACATATTATTGATGGGAATGCAAAATGGTGTGGCCTTTGTAAAGACGGTTTGGTGGTTCCTGAAGACGTTAAACCTAGAGTTAATATGACCCAGCAATCCGACCCATAGGCATACACCCCAAATCATTGAAAACAGGGATTCAAACAGATATTTGTACACCAATAATCATTGCACTATTAATCACAATAGCCAAAAAGTGGAAACAACCCAAGTGTCCATTGACTGATAAACAGATAAATAAAATGTGGTATATTCTACACAGTGGAATATTATTCAGCCATAAAAAGGGATGGAGCTCTGATGCATGCTACAACATACATGAATCTTGAAAACATTGTGCTAGTGAAATAATCCACACACAAAAGGATGACTATTGTATGAATACACGTACATGAAGTGCCTAGAAGAGTCAAATTCATAGAGACAGGATGTAGAATAGATTACCAGGGCCTGAGGGGAAGAGGGAGGAGAGAGTTATTGTTTAACAGATACAGTTTTTGTTTGGGATGATGAAAAAGTTCTGGAAATAGATATTGGTGATGGTTGCACAACATTGTGAATGTACTTAATGCAAGTGAATTGTATACTTAAAAGAATTAAAATGGTTACTTTTATATTATGCACATTTTACCACAATAAAAAAGCCTGGTTTCCCTTTTTTTGGAAGAAAGTTCCTCACATCTTATACCTACAAATCAGACCACTCTTATGAGCTCCAGATGTGATTTTCCAGCTGAAAATATCCAAACTCGATATTCAAAATTGATGTCATTACTGAACCAAAAGCCAAGTCCCTGTTTCCTTCGAAAATTTACCTCTAGTTTCTTCTCCCATAAGCCTTGTCTCTGTAATAACTGTATGACATGCACTAAATCCATCTGTTAGATCTCCTTTGATTCTCTCTTCCACATTCCTGCAACCAATCAGCTCCTGTTTTTGTTTTGCTTTGTTTTTATCCATTTGTAGCTTCTACAGAGATTTTATTTTAATTTTATTTTTGTTTAAAAAAAATTTTTTTTTAAATATTACAGATGTCCCTTTTTCTCCCTAATGACCCATTCCAACCCATCCCACTCCCCTCCCCAGTCCCTCTCCACACCATTGTCGGTGTCCTTGGGTTGTGCATATATGCGTATGAATTCTTTGGTTACTCTCTCCCTCTCTACCCCCCAACCTCCTCCGTCCTTCTGAGATTCATCAGTCTGATCCTCACTTCCATGTAATTGAATCTATTCTGTTCATCAGTTTATTAAGTTCTTTAGATTCCATGTGTAAGCAAGATCCTGTGATGTTTGTCTTTCTCTGCCTGGCTTATTTCACTTAGCATAATTTTCTCCAGGTCCATCCATACTGTCCCAAAGGGTACAAGATCCTTCTTCTTAACAGCTGCATAATATTCCATGGTGTAAATGTCCCACAGCTTTTTTATCTACTCATCTACTGATGGGCACTTGGGCTGTTTCCAGACCTTGGCTATTGTAAACTGCTGCTATGAACATCAGGTACATATATACATGAGAAAATGCTCAACATCGCTAATCATCAGAGAGATGCAAATTAAAACCACAATGAGGTATCACCTCACACCTGTCGGGAAGGCACCATCAACAAATCAACAAACGACATGCGCTGGCGAGGGTGTGGAGAAAGGGGAGCCCTGGTACACTGTTGGTGGGAATGCAGACTGGGGCAGCCACTATGGAAAACAGTATGGAGCTTCCTCAAAAAATTAGAAATGGAGCTGCCTTTTGACCCAGTGATCCCACTCCTAGGAATGTACCCTAAGGATCCTGAAACATTAATCAGAAAGGATATATGTACAGAGATGTTGAATGTCCTTCCGTGTTTCTGTCCCTCCAGCCAGGTTTAGCTCAGGGCCTCATTCTCCCCCTCTCACCTGGGTTACAGGAATAACTTTTTCTTGACCCGTCTGCTTCTCCAATACCCTCCTGCAGAGAGTCAGTCATCTCCACTTCCACAATCTGTCTTCGGAATGGCCACCAAAATGTCTTATAAAATTTCAAATCTGATAAGGCTGTGTCTTTCATTCCTTGACACCCTTTAGGACAAAGTCCAAACGCGTTAGCATACAAGGCTGGTTCTTCACAACTGAACCTCACCTGCTTTTCCAGTCATTCACACACACACACACACACACACACACACCATCAGCAACACCTACTGCTCACTCTTCTCCAGCCGTGCTCTTCCAGGGCACTCTTCCTATAATTGCTTATCCCAAGGGAACTCCTAGTTACCCTCCAAAATCCAGCTAAAAGCCACCTTCCATATAAATGATTCCTCAGTTCGCATTGGAAGGATTGGCTGGTTGTTCCCTTCTCCTTGGTAGTGCTGCGTATTATAAGCATTTGTCACATTGTTTTAAGTGCATTTACGTCCCTGTATCCCCAACCCAGAGGATAAGTTTCTAAAGGCAGGATTAAGACTTGATCCTCTGGTTTGTTTGTTTTGCTAATTACAGTTCAGATGAACAAGAGAAAACTTATTTCTCCCTACCCAAAAGTGAATATTCAAGAGAGTTACTAAAATTCATGAAAAATATTTGTAATACTGAGTGCTCTTTGAATTACTAAAAACTAACCACACACACAAAAAAAAAATCTGGGAATGTCTTCTAACTTGAATTCAATTGCAAAGATCATGGAAAACCTCATATAATTTCCAAATTAGCTGATCCAAATTCATAAATATTCATTTATTCTATAAATTCTTATTGTGCACCTGTTACATACCAGACATTGACTAAAGGTAACAGGTCTTCAAGTATAGTTGAACTGTAACTATGCAGAATTAAAGCAACTATGTAAAGAAAACAAATTTAATGAATTGATCTGGAAATGTTACCTTTGCTAGCACAGCACTCAGTCACCTGATGGTCTCAAAGATGTCTGAATAATTAAATTTTGCAGCTCCAGAATATATGATGTGTTTTCCATGATGCATTATAGTTAAAAGCCACAGTGCTCTTTCCCCAAAAATGTATAATATGATGAACCGGCAGTGCGGTGTAATAGAAAAAGCACTGGATGGGAGTTAGGACCAATATTCACTAGCTGTGTGACTTTGGAGAAATAAATTTACCTGTCATCTTAGCTTCAGCTTTATCTTTGGTAAAAATGAAGCAGTTGGACTAGACTCTCTAGGTCATGGATCCTTATTGCTGTATGTAGAACAACCATTATGTGTATTGAGAACCAAACCAGCCCTCCCAGTGGCTGGGTGGCAGCCGGAGTCAGGGTGACTGGAAGAGACAGAGTGTAGACAGTGATCTCCGAGTTGAAGGGTTAGCGTTGGAGAAACCTGTTTCTATAGACTGTGAGCGTGATTAGTAGATGAACAGTCAGGCCCGTGCTTGAAGATTTTTGTTTATTTGATATTTTTTCATGTCATTCAAGGTAATTCTGAGTAATGTTGACCACTAAGAAAAGAAATAACCTGATTAAAAGGAGACTTAAAGAAGGGACTTCTTAGTGCTCCACTAAGGTCCCTGGAAGGTGAGGGAGTGAAGCACGGGCTTCATGGTGGCCATTGGCCCGGTCGCAGCCCAGCATCTCCATGTGCCACTCCTGCAACTAAGCCCCAGGCAGAGAATCCCAGGATGCTAGCAGTGTTCTATTTCTTGACTTCGGTGACTGTTACAGAATGTTCGCTTAATAATTATTTGATTATTTGCATGTTTTACGTACTGTTCTATGCATTTCAGTTTTTAAAATTCTTTTAAGATATATGGTAATGTCCTGACGGGATGCTCCCCAAAATTTTAAATTAAGAAGATATGCCTGGGTAGCAATTTGATTCTGGCAAAGAAGACGTGCTTTCTCATGGATTAAATTTATACAGCAGAAAGGGAAAAAAAAAAATCCAAGGGCAAATTGCATGCTTCCTGCCAATAAGAACACGATACTTCCTCGTTGTCATTAATGAAAACTAACACACTTCAAAGTCCTGTAGACACCGAAAAGAAAGAAAACATTCAAATGAGTCACCTATTTTTAAATTCAGGTCTGAGGAACTATATAAATCTCTCCAGCCTCTGGAAGAAAACCAGCCATAGGTCTGAAACCAATCCTGGACCCAGCTATGCAGCTGGTCGTGCTGTGCGCCGTGTGCCTGCTGCCCGGCAGCCTGGCTCTGCCGCTCCCCCCCGAGGCAGGAGGCATGGGCGAGCCACAGTGGGAGCAGGCTCAGGTAGGTCACTGGCCCTCTCACCTGGGGGTCCCTGGTCTTGCCATCAGCATAACCAAGTGTGCTTTTCAATTTGGGTAATTATTCTATTATGAAGGCAATATATGTTTTAATCAAGTAGCTATTAAGAGCCTCCCCAAACTGGGTTCAAGTTCCACCTCCACTCACTATGTAGATGAATGTTATTAGCATAGAAATATTATTGAATGTCTCTGAGCTTCAGTTTACTAATTTGGAAATCGGGTATCACAATGGGATCGACCAAATGGGGGTGTTGTGAAGCACTTAGCACAGTACCTGAAATATTGCTCCGGCTCCATACATTGAAATTGTTGTTATTTATTGTAACTTGAGATTTTTTTCATAAAGAGCAGAGCGCTGGCTCTTACCGTGAGGACTACTTGTAATGTAGATACTTGAAATCAGAAAACAGGGTTAGAAGTGACAGTTCTCCATTTTCAAGCTTGAAGATGGGCAAGGCATGAACTTTTGACTTTGTTTTCTCATGTGTCCAATAGAAATAATCGTACTATGTGTTTTATAGCTCAGAGGGCTATTCTAGTGAATAAATGAAGTCATAATAATACCAACTATCATGCATGTAACAACTATAAAGTACTTTGTATATATTATGTCATTTCAGCTTAGCTCAATCCTGGGGAAAATAAGGAACCAAAGTTAAGCTGATTCACATTCTTGTTCATGATGGAGAATCAAAGATGAGTTTTGACAGGAGGCGAGGACAAGTTTTTCTGGTTCAAAATCGTGTTCTTTCCAATACACTAGTTCATAAGCAGCCCAATAAGCGTAAATTATTATTATTTGGTAAAATAATAGGATGTTCACTCTGAAGTACTGTTTATANTGTAAATTATTATTTGGTAAAATAATAGGATGTTCACTCTGAAGTACTGTTTATAAATTTAAGCTTGAAGCGTAAGAAAAGTTGGATTTCATTTCACATTAACTCTGGCTTTTAGAAGTCCCAGTAATATGCTAGATTGAGCCGTATGAAATTACCGGTACTTGGTTATTTTTTTACCTCCAAAACAGCCATTTCATCTGGTTTCACCTAATGGATTCTCCAGGAGTACACTTGCAGGAGTGTCGAACCCCTAAGCTTTACCCAGTGTGCAGGTTGCCAAGAAGTTAGAGTGAGATTAGCTAGGTTTGGCAGAAGGCAGGAAAATTCACTTCAAGGATGCAGAGAAATTTCCTCCAGAAGGTGTCTTGGGAAAGCCTATAGCTCTGGAATGGATAAAATGAGTTGTTTTTAAATGAGATTAATTCCTAACTTTTCTGGATGAGCATGCAATCACTGGTGACAGGAAGAGAGAGCACAATATTACTCCGGTTACTCACATAAAGTGTATTCTCTTGAGAGGTTCCGAGACAAATAACCATCTCATCTACTCCAGATTAGACTGCCAGTGAGTGAGCCAATGTTTAAATCATTTCGGCAATGCTATCATGCATTAGATAGCCCTGTGCATCTTTGGAATCGGAACACAAGTTCAAATACTGGCTCCTTCGGTTACTCGTGGGTGAACATGCTTCTCTGAGCCATGATTCTTTACATAAAATAGGAATAACAATGCTGTACCTACGTCATAGGGTGGTTATGAGGTTTAAATGAGATGAGTGTGTATAGCTCCTAGAGCAGTCACTGCCACTAGTAAGCGCTTAATGAAAGCTCTTGAGGCTTGCAGCTGCCGCTGTTGTTATTTCATGCACTTTTTAATTTTTTCTTATTTAATCCAGCAGGTATCCTCATATCCAGACACTAGGGTCCTTTTAGAAATTCCCAGGGGCCAGTTGTGCATGGAATACACCTGGGAGACCTGCTCTATCTGGCTGCCTCATCGTGGGTTTTACTAGAGATTTAACAGTGGAAAGAGCACAGGGCTGGCAGTCAGTAAACTCAGGGCTGGTTCTGCTACTAATTGTTTTTTTTATTCTGCTATTAATTTGATATGTGACCCCAAGCAAGTCATTTAGTTGTTATGAGCTTTGATTTCTTCACCTGGAGAATATGTACATTAAACTAAATAATAATTTCATAGTATCTTTTCCCAGGACAAACATTTTTAACACCTTTTAACCTTAGCTGGGATCAGATCTCCAGAGAATTTTAGAAGGGGCTGGGCGACTTGGTCTCTGATGCCAGGGAAGGCCTCCTTGAGGACACACTGGTCACTCTTCTCGAGTGGCTATTACAGATGAGTCTATGTTCTATGAAGTGTACAGTGGGCTTGTCTTTAGAACAATTAATGGGATGAAAGAGGAATGAAGGGCCTTTTTCCTTTTGAAATGGAATGACAATGTTTCATTATCAATATTAAATTTTCTTTTTATTAATGCAAAGTTATTTTACTTAGTGACTCAGTAACTATTGTGTTTTCAAACTACTGGTTGAATCCATAGGTATTGAGGCAAAGATACGCAGACTTCCGAGATAAAAGACAATAAACAAGGATTACAGGGCAATTACTCTCTTTCCAACAGAACTATCTCAAGAGATTTTATCCACATGACCCAAAAACAAGGGATGGCAATAGTTTAGAAGCCAAACTCAAGGAGATGCAAAAATTCTTTCGCCTGCCTATAACTGGAATGTTAAACTCCGGCATCATAAAAATAATGCAGAAGCCCAGATGTGGAGTGCCAGATGTTGCAGAATACTCGCTATTCCCAGAGAGGCCAAAATGGACTTCCAAAGTAGTCACCTACAGGTTAGTTGTGCTTTGGCTCATTTAAGCAAAAGCAATAAAGCCCTTTTCCTAAGAGGTCAAACATTGTTTTCTTGTTTGCTACCAGGATCGTGTCATATACTCAAGACTTATCTCATTTCAAAGTGAATGAGTTAGTGGAAAAGGCCTTCAAAATGTGGAGCAAAGAGATCCCACTGCACTTCAAGAAAATTAGATTGGGAATTGCTGACATCATGATTGGCTTTGCAAGAGGAGGTAAGGAAGACTCCTATAGGCTAATCCCCGGTGCTGTTTTGCTTGTTGTTTATATCAGTCCCTCCTCTCTTCAGAATTTAAAATCTTTAATGATATGTATCATTAATTATATATATATGAATATGTGTGTGTGTATATGTATTTATATAGAGAGAGATGTTAGTACACTTTTTCTAGTATATTTAGAGCCACTTTTTATAGCAAAGGATGGTAAACAATGGTCCATGAGCCAAGTCCAGCCCAGCACCTGTTTTTATAAACAAATACTTCTTACAACTCAGCCATGATCCTTCATTTACCTATTGTCTATGACTGTTTTGGGGCTACAATGGCAGAGTTTAGTAATCGTGACAGAGACCAACAAGCCCACAAATCCTAAATTATTCATTGCCTAGCCCTTCATAAAAAAAGTTTACCAACCCCCATTTTGTAGCATTAACATGATGAACACACACACACATATTCACGGAACAGTTTGAAATATATTTAAAGCTTACTGGACATGGGACTTTAAATACTTCACATGCAATATATGGTTGCTTCTAAGTTTGATCACTTTGTTTGGCCAGATGGTGGCAGGATGGAGAGTGAGTGTGGGAACTGTATTCAACATGTAACTAGTGTACCTTGTAGTACACATTTTCTTAAAAACCTGGCTTAGTCTTTTTGGGTACAGTAGACCGTTTCCTGGAGAACCGTGCTCAAGGTGTCTTAAATGGGTGTGAATGTGATGCGGAGCTATTTATTTTCAAATTGGTCTCAGCCATGTCCAGTTCATCTATTCCTGAAAAACATGGAATGCCACGATCTGTGCTTTCCACAATGTTTTCTTCAGGGTCATCAATATTGTGGCTGAAGTTCAACATCAGCTGCATTCACAGCAGGCAGGCATTTCAATATGACACCAGAATGAAAAGAGCTATATTTTCCTCTAAATTTGCACCTTGAAATGCTAGTAATTAATAGCAGTTCATGTATATAGGTTATATCTCCATTATCAACATTATGCCAACATTGGTTTATACCAACATTAGACCAAGAAAAGGGGTTGCAGCTTCCAAAGACCTTAAATGGTCTCCAAGAAGCAGGACAGCCCCTGTGGAGTGTTGTTGGCATCCTTCATGGAGTAAAAAAAATAGAAAATAGAAAATTTTCATAGTAAACGGCTTAAGGAGCTATAACCCATATACATGAACTGATATTAATTAGTGTTTCAAGGTGCAAAGTTAGAGGAAAATAGAGCTCTTTTCATTCTGGTGTCATATTGAAATGCTTGCCTGCTGTGAATTTAGCTGACATTGAACTTCAGCCACAATACTGATGACCCTGAAGAAAATGTTGTGGAAAGCACTGATCGTGGCATTCCATGTTTTTCAGGAATAGATGAACTGGACATGGCTGAGACCAATTTGAAAATAAACAGCTCTGCATCACATTCACACCCATTTAAGACACCTTGAGCACGGTTCTCCAGGAAACGGTCTACTGTACCCAAAAAGACTAATCCAGGTTTTTAAGAAAACTTATACTACAAGGTGCACAAATTATATGTTGAATACAGTTCCCACACTCACTCTCCATCCTGAATACAGTTCCCACACTCACTCTCCATCCTGCCACCATCTGGCCAAGCAAAGTGATCAACTTAGAAGCAACCATATATTATTGCATGTGAAGGATTTAAAGTCCCATCTCCAGTAAGCTTTCGATACTTGGTGGTTATCAGCGATGGGCAGTGGGCTCTGTGAAAGAAAAAGTGCCTATGACAAGTAAATACCCAAACCACCTTGTGGCTGCAGCCGGCTGCTGATAATAGCCATGTTACCTGCTTGGGGTAGGCTCGACTTTCTAGCCTCAGTAATCATATACAGTCAAAAACAAAATGCCTGGGGAGAAATTCAATCACTAAGGGCAAGCACCCTGTTTTCTTTCAGCTCATGGAGACTTCTACCCGTTCGATGGGCCGGGAAACACGCTGGCTCATGCCTTCTCTCCAGGGCCCGGCCTGGGGGGCGATGCCCACTTTGATGAGGATGAGCGCTGGACCGATGGCAGCGGCCTAGGTGGGCATCCCACCTCTTTCCTCCTATACATGCTTTTTAAAAATCCCAAACCTCTACACTAGCTTCAACTGAATATTTGCTTCGATTAGTAATAATTCTTGAGCCCTCATAACTGCCAACCACTGTAGTACGTGCTTTAAATGCATAATTTTATTTAACATGCCCATAATGCTACACATGCAAAAGATGGAAGCTCAAGCTATAAAGTCAAGGACATTGGGCTCACTTAGCTGTACCTCTACCAATGACTCTCTAGGGGTCTTTGGTCAAGTTACTCAACTTCTCTGAGACTGTTTACTCATCTCTGAAATGGGACTATAAATAATTCCCACCTCACAGGATTGTTGTTTGAATGAAATGAAATAATGCTTATACAATGCTTAGCACAGTGCTTGGAATATACAGTATTAATAATTCAATAAGTTATATCTTTCTTTATGTTTCCCCCAAATTTAAGTTTTTTTAACTGAAGGAAAAAGAGCTATGATATTTAAGAATTACATACATTTCTGAGTATTCACTACTGTTATTCAGAAAGAATCCACACCAGAACCCAGCCCATCACACTCATCGACTTACAAAGCAGGAAACTAGACACATCGGAAAACTAATGGAGAGAAGTTCAGTCATAAATAAGTCTAATTGGAGACAATCCTGGGGAAAAAAAAAAAAAAAAAGGCTATAACTGGCTCTGAAAGGGAAATCAGTACTTGTGTTTGGCAGTGAGAGTTCACCGCTTCAGGGCTGCTTTGCTGAGAAAATCTAACCCATGTAAAATTATGACGCTGTCTTCATCTCACATCTTGCATGCCTCTTTCATTCCTTTTTCCTGCCACTCACTGTAGGCTAAAGGCAGCTTCCTTCAAACTAAAGCACCACAGCTGGAACTCTGGCCACTCAAACTCGCAGGCTCACACCCTCCCCTCATTTGCAAAGCCTTTCGAGGAGTCTTAGAGAAAGAAAAGCATGTATGTAAAACAATTTAATAAATAAAAAGCATTTCCTAGAGACCCTGCCTTTCAGACTTGCCTTTGCAAAGCCAACTTTCTTTCTCCTGCTATTCGAAGTCACTCTCATTTACTGAGTAGCCATGGTTTTTCAGATATTAGGAACCTCTAATTATTCTGACAAATCTACAAGGCAGGAATTATTATCTATGTTGAACAAATGAGGAAATGAGACTTGGGAGCATCAATTCATGTGTCCAGAGTCATCCAGCTAACAAGTAGCTGAGCTGGGTTTCAAACCCAGATCTTAACGCTTCTAAAGCCTTTGTTTTCTTCTGCAGAATACTGCTATTGGAGTAATTATATAAGAGGCAAATAGACAGAAAAACCTTACTTTAAAAAAAGCGGTAGTGATGAGATTAAAACACTGCTTTTCTCCTAAACACTCCTCCCCCCTTATGAAAGCATTTGAACTATGGAGGATATAAAAAGGTTCATATTTTTATAGTTTATTATATTATATTTATTTTATATATAGTTACTTTCATAATTACTGTATGTCGCTCTTGGGTTGTAGGAATCAACTTCCTGTACGCTGTCACTCATGAACTTGGCCATTCTTTGGGTCTGGGTCACTCGTCTGATCCTAATGCCGTGATGTATCCAACCTATGAAGATAAAGATTCCAAAGATTTCAAACTTTCACAGGATGACATCAAAGGAATACAGAAATTATATGGTAATATTTATGATTTCAAATAAGAGGGATTTCACATTGTCTCCTTAGAGTAGGCTTGAATGAGAAAGACTGGGAAATGGGTATTTACTTGGAAAAACACACTGGAACTTACACTAAAAGCCTGTCGAGGAAAGAAATTTGAGACCTTAGATACTCTAAATTTAACCAGGCTATTTTATACTATGAGGATATGGATTTTTAAGTTTTCAGTAATAGAGTAGTATTATTTGGTGAAATTATGAAGTTGACACTATAGATTTTGGGGTTTTTCAAGCTGCCATCACTGTTCTTTCTTGCTCAGTTCAAATACTTTAGGAGAGTCTCTCCTGTGGGGATGGACCGAAGAACATAACACTTTCTTCTTTAACTGCCTGCTCCCAGGATCCAGTCCCAGGTGATAAAAGTGACCTAATTTTTCCTGCTTGTGCATATGTGTAAGGAAAGGGGTTAGTCCTTGACAGGAACTGCTTGTAATTGCCGGTCATGATGCTTGTGAGTATCCTATGTCCCAATCTATAGTTTTTTGTTTTAGTCAAGTTCCCAATTAAATTTAAAAGAATACACTGATTTGTACTTGTTAGTGAGAAAGAAATGAAATGACAGGGATAAAAGGCCACGTCTCTAGAAAAAGACCAGAAGAGAGCGATTCAAAAGGCTAAATGAATTGTTCTTCAAGGTCACATGGCTGCCGAGTGCTTGAACAATGAGTCCAAGCCAGGGCTGTGGGATTTCACACTCTTCCTACTACATAGCTCTGTCTATCATTACTTAGTAAGTTTTATTTTAAACAACAAACAATATTGTTGTGTTTTTTTATTGATTGATTGAGAGACAGAGAGAGAAGAAACAGGGGGAGAGAGAGAGAGAGAGACATCAACTTGTTGTTCACTTATTTATGCATCATTGGTTGCTTTTTGTATGTGCCCTGACGGGGGATTGAACCTGCAGCCTTGGCATATTGGGATGATGCTCTAACCAACTGAGCTCCCCAGCCAGGGCTACTTAGTAAGTTTGGGAAAGCATTTGGAAAGGAGAATACAGAATGATATCTTTTTTTTTTTTTTTTTAATACATCTTTATTGATTTCAGAGAGAGGAAAGGAGAGGGAGAGAGAGAGACAGAAATATCAATGATGAGAGAGTCATTGATCGAGCCCACAACCTGAGCATGTGCCCTGACTGGGAATAGAACCCTGATCTCCTGGATCCTAGGTTGACGCTCAACAGCTGAGCCACGCCCGGCCGGGCCAGAATGATATCTTTAAGTCCACAGATATCATCTAACCTTTCCAGCAAAATATCAGGTTGATAAGAGCACACTGCAAAAAGTTCACCTAAGAGTCTCTGATCAGAAGAGCAATGAATGTGTTTCCACATAATAATGTTCTTAGGGGAAAATTATTCCAATAAGATAATGGATTAAGCTGTCAGGTGAACCTAGAATTTACTACCAATCAGCATTTCCCAAATTTCATTCCTAGAACACCAGCCTTACAAGACAATTTCCAAAAAGCGAATACTATGGAGAAATAAGTTCAAAAACACTACCTAAGGAGTACCTAACAACTCTTGTTTAATTCAGTGCTTCCTAAATTATAATTTTTTCCATGGAGCACCTATTGTGCCCTCACAGAACAGCATTTCAGAGAACACATTTTGGAAAATACCACATAACTGTACCTTAAGGTTCCGACTCAAGGAGCTGCGGCTGTCTAAAAAGCTCACAAAACACTGACAATTGTTGATAAGGTTAATAAGGTTATCGTCAACAAAACAGATAAAATACCTCCTCTTATATAAAATTATGGAACTCGTGGAATGCTCTGTGGCATGCAGAACTGTCTTAGAACCTTAAGAAAATTAGAAAGGGACTTTAAAAAATTCTGAGGCAGGCTAATTAGAAGAAGACAGGCTGGTGCATTAAATCCTTAAGTATTGGGTAATGAGATGCCTGCCCCAGTCAAAGTCAAAAAGAGGTAACTTCTAGACAAATGAAAGTAAGAATTAATTATGTAGGTTTTAAATTAAGGGAGTTAATTAATCCAAAAAGTGATATAAACAGAAAATATAAATTCAAAAGAATGTGATTCAGTCATGGATGTAAAATTACCCAATGCTTTTCTCAGAATAATAAAAAGAATAGTTAAAATGCACTGAGTGTTTACAGTGTCCCAAGCACTTCACGTGCATTAACTCATTTAATCCAACAACCCAATGGGTTGTTATAATCCTCATTTTACAGATTGGAAATCTAACATTAAAAGAGGCTAAAAAGTAATTTGCCCAAAATTATACAGCTGGTAAAATGGCAGAGATACCTGACCCCCAGGCCTACATTCTACACAAAACTGCTTTCTGAGCCTTTGGAGGTTGTTCTTCAAAACCTTTGTCCCAGGCACAGAACTTGAAGGGGCTGAGTGAATGACAAATTATACACAATTAAGACATTTCTTGAGCTTTTATAATATTAAAAATATTATAAATTAATAACAGTAGGGTGGTTTTTATGTATTTTATACCATGTGAAAAAATATTTTTATTTTCTCTCTTAACAGGAAAGAGAAGCAATTGAAAAAGGAATTAGAAACTTCAGGGAAAACACACATTCATGCATTGGATTCTATATCATCGTTCCCCAACCGGAATCAATGGACACTGCTCCTGCACTGCATTTAGCATTCATTTCATCTTTCCTTGTACTGTCGTTGGTTTTTGTATGTCTCGCTCCCTCTGGGAATAAGCTCTTTTATGGCACAATTGTGTCTTTCTCATCTATGTCCCTTCTCAAGCAACTTACATTTAGAAGCTGTCAATGAACATTACACTTAGAAGATGTCAATGAATGTTAAATAAACAAATAAATAAAATTTTTATTTCATGATAAAATAATTTCTATTTGGGTGCACTATTTCTGTGTCAAGAGAAGACATGCTATACAATGAAATCAAAGATTAAGACTAAAAAATTTATATACATATATATATACATACACACACACATATATATATCCCACCACATTGTTTTAGGTCTTCATCTGCACCTCACTCGATCACCAGGTGGGTAAGGAGAGAGCTCCTACCCTTTACTGTTCATTAATGTGGCCCAAAGGTACACTCAGCACCCCTTATCCTTGGGCCCAAGCTCTCACTCTAAGTATTCTGGAAAATCCAATTCTTCCCACAAAACGCATATGAATTCCCAAGGTTTTACATTCCCATAGTCACTTGTGGTTCCATGTTCTTACCCCTGACCTCCTGGTTTCACAGTGTCTCTCCTGCCACAGCTGCTCTGGGCTCCCTTTCCTCTACCTCATGCCAACCAAGATATCAGTCTCACCCCCTTCTCTTTAACTTTCTTTAACTTTCTCCAAATGAGTCCCACAAGGTTTTGTGAGATTACTGACATGGTTGAAGACTTGCGTCAATCGTGATGTTTTACAGTGCACAAGGACAATGAGTTGAATGAAAATAAAACCAGATATTAAACCCATCCTTCAAATCCCTTACCTATCCCAGCATCAGATATTTCTCACTGGCCACTTACCTCTGCAAGATCCAGCATCTTAGCACATCTCTCCCTAATCCTCAAGACTCCATTCATTCTGACTTCCTCCACAGACTCGTTTTCCTAAGGTCTACACAGCTCCAGCTCCCCTTCCCATACACAGAGACTCACTAATGTGTTTGTCTGGAAGAATCACTCTCCACACAGGGCACATCACTGGCAAAAGCTTTAGCTGGCAAGCCCTTTAGCAGGACACGTAGCTGGCAAAGGCTTTCCCATTTCAGCCTTTCTTCCTCCTCTACATGTCCTACGCCCATGCATGGTTTTCTCTACAAATAGAGGGATAAAGAATTGGAATTTACTTTCTTACTGATAAAAATTACACCCACGCGGGCACTTACATGCACATACACAGCCCACAATACCACCAAAGTCATTAGGAAGCCATTCTAAGGATAGATCCAATGAAGGGCCAAATCCATAATTTAGACCAAATATGAGATATATACAAACAGGAATTCAAAGACCCTTTGCAAACCTAAGGTAGTAAGTCTATAATGACAGAATGGAAAGGAAGTTAGAAGTCATTGAATTCCAGTTCCTCATTTTATAGATGACAAAACAGATGAAGAAATGTTAACTAATTTCCATAAGGTTTCCATAAGCAAATGTAGAAGTGATTAAAGAACATTCTTGTTTGTTTGCCTGTTTGCATTTTGGTTTGGGCAGCAGAAGGCAGTATTTATCTTGTAGTTGAAACAGATATCAATTGTTTTTACCTGCCCAGCATCCTTTCACTCTGTGTTGCAGGACAGGGACAGTATACAGGGTCATCACTTAGATGCCACACACTGCTGGCCTGTTAGGGGAACGCGCAGAACCCACGTTTGGCCTATCAGACACTCCGCTGAAAACACCAGAGGCTAATCCAGCCTGTCAGTGGGTTCTGGAGACACTACTTACTCATCCTGCGCCCAGGGAGATTTCTGAAGCTGCCCTGGGTCCTGTCCTACAAATAGCTTAGAAGCAAGGCTCCTCTTCCAGATTTTGCAACTGACTGCGTTACAATTTATTCTGAGAACAGAAAAGATAATTTGACCTTTTTTCTCAGTCAACCATTCTACAAACATTCATTGGATCAGGAACTTGGAGAGTAAAGAAATTCAAAAATACAGAGAGCCTTCCTTCAAGAATCTCAAAGTCTCATGAATAAAGCATATACTCAAGAAATTATTATAATGCAACATTTTAAGTGTTATAATAAAAAATATGCAATGTGAGAGGGAGAAAGCTCTGAGATTGGAATTCTAAATTATTTTAATGAGCTTTTGAGCTCCATTCTACAAATTCTAGAATACCACATATAACACACAAGTCCAAAGCTCCAGTGTGATAATTAAGTATTCTGCATAAGTTAGGTCTCTCCAACAGGCTTGAGATGCCCATCAGCCTGGTCAAACTTTCTTAGAACTGTGGTGTACCCTAAGATTTCATAGTCTCCAGATCTGCACCAGGCTCTAAAGGCTCTCCCCACCTGCTGCACTCCTTCCCCTTTTATCTTTCCTGGGTACAGTAAAGGACACCTAAGAATAAATCTCTTGGGCGCCTAATCTCATCTTGGCATCTGCTTTTTAGAGGACCTGAGCTAACTTAAGGCGTGTTGCAGTTATCTATCCTAAATAGTGGCTTAATATAACCATATAACCATCATTTTATTAGGTATCATGATTTGGTGAGTCATGAATTCAGGCAAGGGTCCATAGGATAATTTCTTTGTTTGTTTCTCAGGGCAGATGACTGGTTTGAAGGGTCCAAGATGGCTTCGGTCATGTCTGCCTCCTTGGTGTAGATGGCTGGAAATCCAGGCTCAGCTGGGACTGTCAACCAGATTGCCAACACATGACCTCTCCTGCATGGAGACCTTAAGGCGATCAGACCTCATATATGGTGACTCAGGGCTCCAGGCCAACTGTCATCACAAGCAAGCAGAAGCTGCATAGCCTTTTCTGTCTGGCCTCAGAACTTGCATAGCACCCCTTATGCTACACTCTCCTGTCAGAGTAATTAATTCACCACAAGCCACACAGAGTAAAGACAAGGGGATAGACATCCACCTGGACGCAAGAAGTGTCGAAGATTTTTTTCAGTCATGTTTTAAAACTGCCACAGGGGGTCACCCTTTCTCTTAAAAAACCATCTATATTTAAACCAGATATATATTCATTCTAATTAAAAGTATAGTTGCTATAATGAAAATATTGTATGAATCAGCAAAAATAAGTTCTAGTTTGCACCCTCTTTGCCATCACAGTCCAGAAGCCAATGTCCCAACCAACAAAAAAGGAATTCAGAGTTAGTGCTTTACTGTTCAGGTGACAGATGAATCTATAGACCATGACCCTGGTGACCACAGCTGTTTCTTTGGGTGTGAATTTCATAATTTCCACAAGAACGGAAAGCTGTCATGGAGCATGAGCCCCACCACCTTCCTCACTGGTCATTCCAGTGTGAGAGAGTAACTCTGATTACTAGCAAGCATGAAGAGGATGGTAAATTGCACTTTGGCCTGACGGCCAGCTAAGGGACAGCTGGGAGCTGCTGTTGCAACTTATATTGGTGAGGAAGAAACACAGCTTTATGATTACCAAGGGTAGTGGGTTAAACTTGACAGTGGGTTAAACACTGTCAAGTTACCTTTTTCAAAAATGTATTTTTATTGATTTTAGAGAGAGGGGGAGGTAGAGAGAAAGAGAAACATCAATGAGAGAGAAACAATATCTATTGGCTGCCTCCCGCACACCCCCTGCTGGGGATGGAGCCTGTCACCCGGGCATGTGCCCTCACCAGGAATCAAACCGGTGCCTGGGTCGATGCTCAACCCCTGAGCCGCACAGGCCAGGCTACCCCTGTTATCTTTTGCTGAGAATTTCCCTAAGGATTACAGGCTTTAGGACCAAGAAGCAGTGATTCTCCTTGATTACAAAGTAAAGGTGAACTCACTCTCCTAGACTTTAATAATGGTGATTGTCAAGTTTTTTTCTGTGTGTGCATGTATATAGGCTAAACATTCACCTAAAAGAGGCCTCAAGAGCCACCTCAATGTTATACAAATGCACTTGAGAGTCTTCTTTTCTTGCCTCTCAAATTAGTAAATTCACTTAGCCCTGAATAAAAACAAACAACTATATAGAAAAGTTGGGGACTTTAAATAATGGATTTAAATTCTATTCAGGCTTAATACCTAATTACACTTTTTCAGTTATCTATAATTAGATCACATTCAGGGAAGAATCTACCTCAAAGTAAGTAGATTGCAAACTCTTAATCTAAGAAATCCTTCTGGTATAGAAAACATGATTGAAAAGCTTTTATTGAAAAGCTTCTCCTCCATTGTGATATTGTTATAAAAAGTAAAGTTCTTGACAGAAAATCAAAGTCTTTGTCTGCATTGTTCAGGGTTAGAAATAATTATTATTAGCATAATCACTGGCACATAAAAGTTGTAAAATAACTATCTGTTGAATTGTTGAATGAATGAAGGTTTGAATTCACTTGTTCAAGTAAAACTTTCCTTTTAGACATTTTCCAGAAGAAGATGATATAATCAAGCATGATAGGTAAACTAGAGGGTAATTTAAATTTCAAATAGCTAAATGGTTTCTGTTCAGAGTGTTAAGGATTAATACTTAGAAAGATGTTAATTATAACTTACTGAGGACAGATTTCCTTTGAACTTCATTTCTTTCATGTTGGTAGCAAACAGGCCTTTTCAGTTAAACCTTAATATTCTGGTTATCTTAATAGTTGTCCTAACTCTAACAAAAACTAAAAGGTATAATCTTAATTACTTCTGGGAAGGGAATTTCGCTGTTTTGCACCTAGAAGAGCATGTAACGTAGAGTAGGCATCCATTTAATATGTGTTGAGTGAAGGAATTAATTGATGTATAAATTAGTAGCCTGGAAAAGCATGGACTAGAAATTGACTTTTTCCTGAGTGATTTCTTCATATGCAGGCTCACTGGGATAATAATTGCTGGCATAAGTGCTTGGAATAATTGCTTGGAAT